TTTTCAGAACGATGAGCTTTGTAAAAATCGACGCGTTTCAGAAAGGCGGGGCATAGAGGAGCAACAATATTGTACATTATGTGGAAAATAATGTGTTTTTTTAACCTTAAACCGCATAAACAGATTGCATTACACCAAATAAACAACATAATGTTCATTTTAGCAATGTCATATGACCCCTTTAATGAAGTACTGATTAGGGGATCACCTTAACCAAATCTAATTTAACAAGGAAAAGCATCTGCTGTGGTCATCCCTATCCTCTTGCAATAGGACCAACTGGATGGCAAAAACAGTGCTAGTAGTACCTCAAAAGTATTTAGAATCAAATGATAACTACTGACCATGCCAAAAGAGTTGAAAAGAAAAGGTTTTATTGAGGAAAAGAAGGGTTCAATTCTGGATTTACTGCCAGAGGGATACAGTGAGAGTCAGGTTGCTTCCACCCTTAATTTTAAAGACTATGGTTCATGAGAACAAGGTCGGTCTGCTTACATTGGGGACAACAAAGCTACAGATCGGCAGAAACATCTCTCCACTGACCGGGATGACCGCCAATTCATTCGAATGTCACTCAACAACCGTAGGATGACACCAAGTGACCTACAAAAAGAGTGGCAAACGGCAGCTGGGGTGAAGTGCACGGCAAGGACGGTTCAAAAGGGGCAGGAGTAAAGTCGTGCAAAGGTCGAAAAAAGCCCTTGATCTATGAGAAGCAAAGGAGAGCCAGGCCGAGGTTTGCAAAAGACCATAAGGATTCTACCGTTTCTGATGAGTCCAATTCTCAGCTTTGCCCAACACCTGGTCGTCTAATGTTTAAACAGAGACCTGGAGAGGCCTACAAGCCACATTGTCTCTCACCCACTCTGAATTTTGGTGGAGGATCGTGATGATGTGGGGGTGCTTCAGCAAGGCTGGAATCAGGCACATTCATCTTTGTGAAGGGAGCATGAATCAAGCCATGTACAAGGTTCTCCTGGAAGAAAACTTGCTTTCTCCTGCTCTGACAATGTTTCCCAACTCTGAGGATTAGTTCTTACAGCAGGACAGTGCTCCATGCCATACTGCCAGGTCAATCAAGGTGTGGATGGAAGACCACCAGATCAAGATCATGTCATGGCCAGTCCAATCTCCAGACCTGAACCCCATTGAAAACCTTTGGAATGTGATCAAGAGGAAGATGGATGGTCACAAGCCATCAAACAAAGCCGAGCTGCTTGAGTTTTTGTGCCAGGAGTGGGATAAAGTCACCTAACTGAAACGTGAAAGACTGGTGGAGAGCATGCCAAGACACATGAAAGCTGTGATTGAAAATCAGGGCTATTCCACCAAATATTGATTT